TCTCCCTACGATATGATGTCGGTAGGAATATTTTAAAAAGTAAGTTTTTTAAAATAAAAAAAAAAAGAAAAACACTTTTCTCCATTTGTTTTAACTTTTTTGGCCAAAAAAACCTTTAAGGCTCTGTTTGTTATTAAGATTTATTTTTAATACATCCTTAAACTTATTTTTTAGAGCAGTAGAGCGGCAATGTCGGAGGTACATCCAACAATCTTTAAACTTGGGTTGAGATTTTGAATCAAAAGTGATCTAAATTGAATTATTCAAAGGACCAATCTCCATATTAAAATTTTAAATTAATTATTATTTATTTTCAGATTAAATTACTCCTAAAAAAAAAAAAAACTTAATCCAAATTTCTAATAAATTAGTGTACAAACAAATTCTTAGGAAAACTGTTCAATATATTTTTACCAATTATCATAATTTAAATTTTATGTATTATATATTTAAAATAAAAAATATGTATAAAAATACTATTAAAATTTAGGTTCAGAATAAGCTCAAGCTCAAGCTCATGAAAATTAAACTGGATTTAAGTTAGATTTAGTTCATATTGACCCACCCAAATTTGCACCCTTAATTATTTTTCATCAGAGCTAATTTTAATTCAAAATTCATCCATAAGATAAAAAATTTAGTGATCCAGAAATTAAACAATAAACAGTAAAATATTGTCATTGTCACTGACAGAAAAAATATCAAGTTGGAAAAAATATCAAGTTGGCAAATATAATATTAATTATTAATAAACACATGGACAATTAAGAAAAGAAAAGCAAATAGGATGCCCTCCAAGACCATTCCAAGTTAGCCGTCGTGGTTGATTGATATGGCCTATTGACTAACTTCGTCTACAAATTAATTACGAATGCTTGCAGATAAGACAAGATCAACAAAAAATCTGGAAATTTCCTTTTAATTGGTCCGGCCATTTTTTTTTTTTTTTTTAAACATAAACAAACAGACTAAACCATAAAAGAAGAAGAACTACAAGTAAAGAAAAAAGCATTTAACAATCATTGGGCCATATGCTTCACTCCAAATCACCACACTCGGCCTTACGAGCCTTTTTGCTCAACAAATGAGCCACAACATATGAGCCACAACATTTCCTCCACGAGGAACCCAAGCAAGGGAAGATCCTAAACAATGGATCAGAAGAGAACAAATATTTTTAAACACCATCAACTGGCCTTCCACGGAAACCTGCAACAGCATTACAGATTTACAGTCGCCTTCTATCACCACATCCTTATAGCCCCAACAACGAAGAAGCAAAAGAGATTCCCTCAATACCAGACTTTCCGCCAAGGAAGGAGATGAAACATTCTCAAGGAAAAAAGACACCACCTTAATGGGAAAACCCAGATGATTCCGAAGGATCACTCCACCCCCACAAAGCTTACGAGACTGATTAAAAGCCACGTCAAAATTAAGCTTAAAACCAGTCATCGAGGTCTGCCACAAAGCCGAAGGAGAAATGGAAGGAAGAGGCGGCAAAAGAAGTAAATGATTTTGATGAGAAACCTCCTGAAACTCATGAAAATCCGCAACAGCTCCCTGAGTAACATCAAAAGGATCCCATCTTTTCCGTCGAAAAATCTAGTCATTACGACACCGCCAAATAGACTAACAGACAAAAGCTGCCAAGCTCGTGCAATCCTCGGAGAGATCAGACATCTGTCATCGCGTGTATAAATCCACCCAGCCCTTATTCCAAACAGAAGGAGACTGGGAAGAAAAACCAAGCCTTAGCGTGCATAATTTCCAAACCAAACGGGCAAAAACACATATAAAAAGGAGATGATCCACAGTTTCCACCTCTGAATTACAAAGAGGACACTCAGGAAAAGAAGAAACACCTCTAAGACAAAGCTGAAAATTAACGAGGAGGCGATCATGCATGCATTGCCAAAGAAACAAAACAATTTTCCTATGGCTTGGATTTTCCAAAGATTTCTCCACATAGAACAGGAATCAGCAGCAAAACTTGAACCAATAGGTGAGGGAGAAGGCGACTTTTTTTTAAGAAGAGAGAGGGCAATAAGATAGGCACTATTAACAGAAAAGCGACCGTCCTTAGAAGCTTCCCAGACCAAACAATCCTCCTGCCGTAAAGAAGAAAGGGGAATTTGCAAAATAAGGTCTTGATCACGCTTATTAAAACAACATGCCACTAAATCCACATTCTGGCAATGAAGAACAGGATTAATAAAATCAGCGACCAAGAAGCACCGCTCCTGACCTTGCTTAGATGTGACAACAAAATTAGAATAATCCAGCACCCAATTGTCGAGCCAATAATTCACCTTAGTACCATCACCAATACTCCAGCGCTGTCCCTTCAGAATCACCTCCGGCACTAAAACAATACTCTTCCAAACCCACGAAGCTTTGGAACGAGACACCGACTCCATAAACCTGCAATTTTTGAAGTATTTAGGCTCAAAGGATTTGTCCAGCCATTCACGTTTGCTGGGACTATGTGTGACATATTTAATTTATCTATCTGGATTGGTTGGTTTTAAATTAATGTTATGCGTTTCATATGCATGCTCGGACTATGTGTGATTTAGTTCGTCGTTAAGTTTAAAATAGGTACATGGTTAAATTGTAGGCATGGTTGATTTGCCAAAGTATAACTAAATATACTTAAGGAGGCATGGTTGATTTGCCAAAGACATGGTTTATTTGTCGGCATGGTTGGTTTGCCAAAGTATAACACAATATACAAAAAGGGGGTATGGTTGATTTGACAAAGTATAAATAACTATACTTAGGGAGGCATGGGTTAGTTGCCAAGTTATAAATAAAAATATTTTTATATAGATAGATCTGAGTCCACATAAGAACGGAAATGAATTTTAAAAACAATAATTTAGAGTTTCGTGAATTCCGATGACGGAATTCCGTTTGTTAGGGGAGGAGAAAGTAATACCCCTAGTTTTAAAATGATATAATTGGCATTCTTTTTATTATTTTATTTTATTAATTTTTGTTGTTTACGTGGCTACATGGTTAGATGTTTTTATGACATCTGTGTAATTGAATTAATTGTTTAATTTTGTGTGTGCTTAAGTGTTGTGTTTACATTAAGTGTTGCATGAGATTATTTGTTATTTGATTGTGATGTGACTTTTATTTTATTTCATTTTGTTTTTTTTTTTTTTTTTTTTTTTTTTTGGTGGATTTGGGATCATAGTAATGGACCAACAGTGGGTCTTATGGACTACTTAAATAGAGGTTGCAGATGGGTACGAGTAATTTCCATTTATGGTTGGTGGTATATATATATATATGCTCGCCTATATATATATTGGCAAATATAGATTGTTATTATTATTGTTATTTGTTTTAAGGGTGATAATTGTGACGACCCTGGATTTTTCAACCCAGTGTGTCCTGTGATGACCCGAAGCGGATCCAAAATATGGAAGCAAAACGAAACCAAGTCCTTAGAGATATACATCATCCCTAAGACACAAGAATGGCCCTTCAAGAAATTTCGAGACTCAGCGGAAGCAAAATGAAGATAAGGGTATCAAAACCTTACCAAAAGAAGGACCAAGGGTAAAATGGTCATTTTACCCTAAGAGTAAGGAATTTGTATCCCAACAAGTCAAATGAGATTAAAAACATCCAAAAACATCCTTTGGTAACTTCACATGAAGTCTCAAGGCCAAAGGAAATGAAATCCCAGAAGAACCCTATCCCAGTTCGAACTAAATCCGACACCCTCTCACTAAAATGAGGATATCATGAGCTAAGAAAATAATCTGAAACTTAAATTCATACCATTGGAAAGCTTATTTCAACGTGGTCAGTTTAGACTAAAGAACGGACCAATTCAGAGTTAAAACGAAGAAGTTACATCAGTTTGAAGTTGGAAGTCCAAAACTGAAAACTCTGGAAGACTTTCTACTAAGAATAGTACCCTTGTTGAATCAAAAATATATCCCCATCTCTAACTTGCCATACAAGTTCTATTAGATTGGAATAGCTCTTTTTTTTTTTTTTTTTTTTTTTTGAGGGGGTTAAAATGAATAGCTCGATCTATTTTACTTATCAATGGAAGCCATTAAAAAATCAAAATCAGAAGTCAAAATTCCCTTGAAAGAGAACAAAATTACCGCCCTTAATAGAGTATGATTTGCATGTTCACCAAGAATTAAAGGTCGTGAATAGCAAAGCATGCATGCACGGGCTAGAATGGGACAACTGCGCCCAGATTCTCATGTAACAAGCCATCTCCCACAAAATAATGAACTTTTACTTTGTATAGGAGGATGCATGATGCCATTGTGCCAGCTTTTCTTCTGATGTGATTCCGCTAAAATCATTAGTTTGTTTCTTTTATAGATCCATAAAGCATCCAGATTCCAATGAAGACATTAACGGAATGAATGAGAAACTCAGATCAAGCATGCACACATCAACCCTTGCATGTTTTATTATGAATGACTTAATACATATCATTTAAAAGGACAAAACTGGATATAATCTCATCATACTAACTAGTATGTGTCTTTGCAAATATATTACACACTATATGCACACATATATCTATATAACTAACGTATAATGTATTTATCTCTTACAAACTAGCTTGTATCTTTATATTACAGATAATACACGCACATATGTAACGATTTCACTTGTCATGAAACTCTAAAAATCTTCTTAAAAGCTTAATAGTACTTGATGAAAATTTATTTCAAGGGCGTGTAATCTCAAGCACAAACAAACACACATACATATATTTATTTAATTATTCTTGTTTCTTTTTCTTTTTTTTTCTTTTTTTTTTTTTCTTCATAATTGGTACTCACACACACACATGTGTTCATAAAGGTTTGAACCATTGACCTCCCTTTGAGAAATATGGGCCCATTGGTTAATTATTCTTGTTTCAACAACGTATGGATTAGTAATAAAAGTAAGCTCTAATGACAGAGATGGCTTCATGGAATGAATGGTGTTAACCTTCAGCGTGCAAGTTAGGCAACAAAACCAACCAAAGTATTATATAAAATTCAAAATTTGTTATAATTACAGAAACATATCACGATTTCTTAAACTACATAAGTAGGAAATACAAGGGTAATGATTGATACACTATTTTTTCAAGCAAGACAGATGTAAAATATGAAGCGAAAAAAAAAACAAGCAAACAAACATTTTTAACAATCACAATTACTTAAATAGCAAAGGATTGACATCCCGTGATGATGATGCACTCCTATGCAAATGAGACCCTGTCGAAGTTGAAACAACATCCCAAGGTCCTGTGAGTTCAATTACTGCATATTCATCCTCTTCATAATTTTTTTGAACGGTACATACTTCATGTGATGTTCTAATCCCTTCCAATTCAGTTACAACTTCTTTCATTGTAGGCCTTTTTCTCCCACTCAAGTTCAAGCATCTTTTTGCAAGATTAGCGACCCGAATGATGTCTTCTTTCCCAATCTCTTTGGAAACTCGAGCATCAAGAATGTCAAATAAACGGTTCTCCTTCATTATCATCATGAAATATGTTGCCAAACTTCGTTCTTCTGATCTGGTTGATGAGATTGGTGGTTGTCCAGTTAACAACTCAACAAGAACAACTCCAAAGCTATAAACATCACTTTTTTCTGTAAACTGGCTTGATTGGAAGTACTCCGGGTCCAAGTATCCAAAGGTCCCCTGCACTATTGTGGTCATATGAGTTTGATCAATGGCAATTGATTTTGAAGTCCCAAAATCCGACACTTTTGCTCTGAATTTCTCGTCTAACAAAATGTTTGTGGATTTCATATCCCGATGATAAATGGGTATGGTGGCTGCTGAATGTAGATAGGCAAGAGCTCCTGAAACTTCTGTAGCAATCCGAACACGAATATCCCAGGTAAGTGGAAACTCTTCATTTTGCTCATGGATGTACTGGTAAAGGGTTCCATTGGGGATGTACTCATAAACCAACAAGGGAACTTCTGACTCCAAACAACACCCATACAAGTTAACCACATTCCTATGGTTAATTTGTGATAAAATAACGACCTCATTAATAAATTGTTCAAGGTTGCCTTCATCCACTATCTTGGACTTTTTAACTGCTACAATTCTACCATCAATTAGCATGCCTTTGTATACAGTACCTTGCCCCCCTTGACCAAGGATCCGGTTGTCATCAAAGCGGTCAGTGGCCTTTTCCAACTCCTTTGAAGTAAATAACTTATTTTTCTCAACATTACCTTGATTGATCGAAGACAGTTGTTGTTGCAATAACAAACCCCCATTTCGTTTGAAGAATTTTCGCTTGAGCATGTGTTTCTTTCTCCTCTTCACCAATTTATACAACCACCATATACCAATAAGTAGAAATACTAATCCAAAACTCGTACTCATACCTGCAAAACTCAATTGGAAAAGATCACTTTTATCAAACTAAAATTTCAAAATTTAGGAAATTAAGAGTTTTGAAAGGGACGCTTGTTTTAAAACATCTCAAAGTTAAAAAGAGAATTACTCAATCTGGGATGAAGAAAGTAGTGACCTTTCTCATTCTTCTTTTCTTTCTTCTTCATGTAGGGGACCCCATTTATATTCAAGGACCAAATTCTATATTTACATAACTATGGTACTACGAAATTAATGTCATGGTTCTGATCTTAACTTGGTACAACAATTGCCTTGACTCTATCAGCCTCTGTGCGTTTATGTGAAAGAAGGGACATACCTATGATAATCATTCGAGTTTTCTTGTTGTCCGCTGTACATGAAACAAAATAGTTAGCCCACTAATTCGTTGACCCAAATACATTTCAAAGTAGTTGAAAATTTATGTATGTGTGCATAGATGAGAGTTAAGATCTATATATATGTGTGTGTGAGCTAGCAATCAAATTTATTTTTGCAAAATGAGAACTTAAAATATGTACATGCATACCTGGACATCCATCTGACAGATATGGGTTCCCCTTGCCAATTTTACAATAGCATGCGTAAGTAAAGTTACTATTTCTTGTTGTTCGAGTGCATACAGCATTTGCTCCGCATAATGTGTTACTAGCAGGCACCGATCTGTTGCACTCTCCATCCATGCCCCAAGCCAGCACAGCAGGAACGCTTTCCATTCCTTGTATTTCAAAGGGATCTCCCAAGATATAATTGAACCAATTTTCATCCACTATGAACGCATACTTGCAATCTTTTGAAAGATTGGTAGTATTCTTAGAATCAAAGTTGCTCAGAGATGCATTAATGAAGTTGAGTGATGGAGGGATTGTGGTCTGGCAACATTTGATTCCATAGCAACTTCCTCGAGCAGTTGAATTTGAATTGTCGCAAAGTGATGCGCACCCACCTATAATTTGTTGGTCTTGGCTCATGATTAAGGCCAGGTTGTTACAACCTGTGGCCGTGAAAACATTATTGCTTTCAGAGAACCAAAAAGGACTGGGCAAATTCGCAAGTCGATGAACATTAGTCCCATTTGGACAATTATAAGCTAGCACCGGATGATAGATGTCAACGAAGCCCCATAGGTCAATATAACGCACCTCAAGGTTGTTGGTAGTGATGAAAGGTTTTGGTGGATTGAAAGACTTATCGCAAGTTACTTCAAAGCTCTGGTTGCCATAGCAACCCGCTCCAATCCCAAATGGGTAAGGAATGGTAATATTTCCGCATTTGTCTGCACAACCAGGCCTTGCTAGAGATGCTGAGGATGCTCCTCCTGTTAGCCACACTAATCCTAATACCAACAACTCAATCACCATTTTTTTAATACCCTCTCTAGTTTTTGTGAGATTCTCAGAAGTACTGGTTATCTTATATTGGTGTTTTTGGACAATACGTGTATCTCCAAATCTATTAAAATAATAATAATAATAATAATAAATAAACAAACAAAACAAACAAAAAGAAGAGAAAAGTCACACAATGGAAGAGGAGTTCCATTTAGTCACTCCTACCAATCAAACGAGACAATTATTATACTCTATTGGATGTGATCGATGTAGTTGTGAGAGAGACAGAGATACACCTGCATAATTAAGATTTATTTTTAATATATCCTTAAACTTATTTTTAGAGCAGTAGGGCTGCAATGTTGGAGGTACTTCCAACCATTTTTAAACTTAGGTTGAGATTTTGAGTTACAAAGTGGGTTGAATTGAATTATTCATATTACGGATCTCAACATTAAAATTTTAAATTAATCATTATTTAATTTCAGATTAGATCACTCCTAAAAGAAAATTAAAAACTTAATTTAAATTTCTAGTAAATTACTGTATAAACAAATTAGTCCATGAAATAATTGTAGTAGTCAGAGAACCAAAAATGACTGGACAAATTCACACGTGGATGAACATTAGTATGGACAATTATAAGCTATCACGGGACGAAGCTTTTTGCAAGTGAAGTAAGCCTTGGAAGAGTTGTCGCAATTTATTGCAAAGCTCTTGGCCGCGTAACAATCAACTCAATCACCATTTTCTAATTCCCTCTCTACTTTTTGTGAGATTCTCATACTACTTATTATGTTATATATTGGTACGTGTTTTTCTTCTTCTTTTTTTTTTTTTTTTTTTTTTTTTTGGAGATTATATAGACTTCAAATAAATCTATTTTAAAAGAATAAAAGAAAAGTCGCAAAGAGGAGTACTTTGGTTTATTATTCGCTCTATACTAATCAAATACCGTATTCATCAAGTTACACTAAATAACAAATATGAAGGAATGTCCAGCATATCATAGTTGACAATTGTTTTACTTTATTGGACGATGTGTGTGTGTGAGAGAGAGAGAGAGGACACATGCACAACGGCTCGATCAAATTTTGGACCTTACGCAACAAAAATAAAAAAGTAGCATTTTCAACAATATAAATAAAAATCACCCTCAACATCCACATATACTTTCCAAGCCAAAAAAATCACCCGCAACCTCTGAAATTGATCAATACAATTTCCATTTATCTGTACCATATCAACTTAACCTATTTTACTGACATACACTTCAACAAGTGTTTTTACACAACATAATAATATGAGTTGTAGGTCTAGCTTCTTGTACACACAAATTTGGTAATATGCAAATAAGAAACAAAATTGGGAGCAAATATAATATTTTATTAATTTATAAAGATGGAGTACAATCCTTTGTAATATTCTTTACAAAAAGAATGGTCCTGCAAATAAGAAACAAAATTGGGAGCAAATATAATATTTTATTAATTTATAAAGATGGAGTACAATCATTTGTAATATTCTTTACAAAAAGAATGGTCCTCTGATTCGATCTCCTTTTTGTTGTTGGTTGGATCCAAGGGCTGCACGAGCTTATTTTTGAATCACCGTGGAATTTGATGAAGAACGGCACGTCGTTGGATGTGCTTGTTGTTGATCACAGTGGAATTTGATGAAGAACAGCACGTCGTTGGATGTGCTGATCAATGTGGAATTTGATAAAGAACGGCACGTCGTTGGATGTGCTTAATGTTCTTCGCTTTTGGGTTTGGATTCTGAATTTGTATCTCTGACTTCTGAGTCTCCGAATTTCTGGACTTCTGAATTCTGAATCTATGTCCCCTTTCCCCCTTCCTCCAGGCCTCAATTTATAGGATTCTTGGATTAATAGGATGATGACATGTGTCTCTCTTGATAAGGAAAAAATCATAACTGGGCCGGGTCGGTTATATTATGATAATTATCTTTAAAAATAATTATTTCAAATATATTTATTAGGAATAATTATCTTTTCATTTAATCATCTGGGTTGGGCTAATTAAATAATTTAAGTCGACCAAGTTTGGGCCAATTAAATAACTTAATTAAACATTAAGCCCATATTTAATGGGTCCATTTGTCAAAACCAAAGTCCACTAAACTTTTAGTGTCTACAAATTGCCCCCACTTCAAGTCCCAAGTTTGACAAGACTTGTTTCCTTTTTCAAGTGGGACTTGAAGTATCCAACTTTCCTTTTTTTTTTTTTTTTTTTTTTTTTTTTTTTTTTTTTTTTTTTTTTTCGCTTTCCTATCCAACTTTGGATTGTAAGATTTCTTCTTTTGGTTTTATAATCCAACTTTGGATTGGAATTTTACTTTCCTATTTGAACTGAATTATACAAATTGGAGTACAAATATGATATATTTTGTTGCCTATATATACCACATATGTCATAGGGTTTGACATCAATTCAGAAGCCGAGTCTTGGGAGCTGCCTGCCACGAGACAATGTTGGTCGGGAACTATTATGGTATGAAATTGTTTTTTTTTTTTTTTTTCAACACATTTTGTTTTTCCACGCTCTTTTTTTTTTTCTTTCCCTTTTTTCTCTTTTTTTTTTTTTTTTTTTTTCATGAGCTCTTCTTTTCTTTTTCTATTTTTCCTTTTTTTTTTCCATGCGTTTTTTTTTCCCTTTATTTATTTATTTTCTCTCTCTCTCTCTCTCTCTCTTTCTCTCTTATTCCACGCATTTTTTTTCTTTCCTTCTTTTTTTTTTTCTTTCTTTTTTTTTTTCTCTCTTTTTTTTTTTCTTGCATGAAAATTTTTTTTTTGCACGAATTATTTTTTTTCTTTCCCTTTTTTTTTTTCACGACTTTTTTTTCTTTTTTTTTTTTCTCTCTTGTTTTCACGCTTTGATCTTTTTTCTTTTTTTTTTTTTTTTTTTCCCACTCCTTTTCTTTTCACCTTTTTTTTTTTTTTTTTTTTTTTTTTTTCAAGTGCTAACCATTTTTTATAATGGTTCTAGTCAACCATGGTGTTTTTCAAGAGTTTCAAGCCCCATACTATCACCATTTTGGAGCGAGAGCAAACTCTGAGAGGTCATGCCACTGGCACAGACAGTGTCATTAGCAGCCACGAATCGATTCGGAGAGCAGCAAGATATGTAGACCTAGGGAGGCTTTATCAACAGCTTAGACAACATTGTCAACACCCGTTACCAAAGCGTCTTCATCAACCATGGATCATCTAGCAGCCATTGATAGAGCAAAAATAGACTCCAAGAGGTCATGCCACTTGCACAGCCAGTGTGGTCGGCAACCACGAATCAGCCCAGAGAGCAACGACAGATGTAGATAGAGAGAGGTTTTACCACTAGCTCAGACAACGTTGTCAACACCCGCCGCTAGAGCATCTTTATCAGTCATGGATCATCCAGCAGCCATTGATAGAGCGAGACCAAACTCCGAGAGGTCATGTGACCAACACAGACAGTGTCGTCAGCAGCCATGAATCAATCCAAAGAGTAATGACAGATGCAGACTTCATTAGCCACAGATCAGACATCAATCATTCAGAGAGTAAGAACAAATTCCAAGAGGTCATACCACCAGCATTGTTAGCCATCGCCAGAGCGTCTTCATCAGCCATAGATCATCCAGCAGCCATTGATAGAGTGAGACAAGACTCCGAAAGGTCATACGACCAAGCACAGACAATGTCGTCAACAGCCATGAATCAATCCAGAGAGCAATGACAGATGCAGATGGAGAGAGGTTTTACCACTAGCTTAGACAACGTTGTCAACACTCGCCGCCAAAATGTCTTCATCAGCCATGGATCATCCAACAGCCATTGATAGAGCGAGACCAGACTCCGAGAGGTCATGTGACCAGCACAAATAGTGTCGTCAGCAGCCATGAATCAATCTAGAGAGCAACGGCAGATGCAGATGGAGAGAGGTTTTACCACTAGCTCAGACAACGTTGTCAACACTCGCCGCCAGAACGTCTTCATCAGCCGTGGATCATCCAACAGCCATTGATAGAGCGAGACCAAACTCCGAGAGGTCATGCCACCAGCACATGCAGTGTCATTAGCAGCCATGAATCAATCCAGAGAGCAACGATAGATGCAGTTTTCATTAGCCATAGATCAGACATCAACCATTCAGAGAGTAAGAACAAACTCCAAGAGGTCATACCACCAGCATTGTTAGCCATCGCCAGAATGTCTTTATTAGGCATGGATCATCCAGTAGCCATTGATAGAGCGAGACCATACTCCGAGAGGTCATACCACCAGCATCATTAGCCATTATCAGTTTTGATGATGATTTCAAGACAAAGTTCCACCAAAAGATCTGACTCAGTGTACAAGTTTACTTATGCACCTGACACTAGTAGCCAGTGTGCTTGTGCATATCTGTCTCAAAGATAGAGCTCTGTTGCAGATGCTGTAAGGATGTGACAGACAAAGCTTGCATGTCTATGCCTTCGTGTGGTGATTTGTTTTTACTTCAGCAATATCTTGGCGACGCCGTGAATTTTCCTTGACGCAATACCTCAATAGAAAACCAAATTTCTCTTTCAGCAACACCTCGGCGGCAAGAAATTTTTTTTTCAGCGACACCTCGATGATGAGTCAAAACTTTGTTGTAGCAACACTTTGGCGATGACCCGGATTCTTCAGCGGCGCCTTGGCAGCAAGTCAATTTTATTTATTTCTTCCAGCCATACCTCGATGACGAATAAATTTTTTTTTTCTTCAACAATAGCTCAATGAAAATCTTTTCCAGCAATACCTCAGTGGCGAGCAGAATATTTCTTGGCACCTATAGTCTGGCGATGAACCAATTTATTTCTTCGCAATTATACTTTGCTGGATCAAAATTTCCTTTGTAGCTACAATTATGGCGAGGGATCAAAATTTTTCTTTGCAACTACATTTTGGCGGTGGGCCAAATTTCTTCCATGCAGCTACAATTTGGCGACAGACCAAAATTTTCTTTACAACTACACTTTGGTGGCATGCCAAGTTAACAGGCAGGACGAGCACTTTTGATATCACATGATGAGTGACAACATCTTGAGAGCTAGCCAAGTTGAAAATTTGTGACGAGCGACAACAATATCTTGACAGAAGCCAAGTTGATTAATTGCGACTAATCTTTTTGATATCTTGTGACGAGCA